CAAACTCAAATCTATGATCGAACTTCCACTGTAAACCTGCTGTAAACACTTGATGATGCAGCGAAATACCGGAGTGAACATGGCTGTAAACGACTTTTTTGATCGGTGAGTGATGGAGGGAGAGAGAGAGAGAGAGAGAGAGAGAGAGAGAGAGAGAGAGCGAGCGCACTCTCACGTCTTCAAACAACACGAGCGCTGTCTTGCTCTCTCTCCCTCGCGCATATTAATCAAAATCAATCGACAAGATAGTAAAAGGTCGGAAGACCGCGGTTTCACGTGGAGCATTTGGAGATTTTTAGAGATTAGAGACTCTAGGAACAACATCTCAATGAACAACATCTCAACACTAAATTATAAAGGCCTGTCTCATATAGACGCCTGTCTCAAATACAAGCCGGTGCAGTTCGACGATTTGGGCAAATAAAAGCCCGGGCTATTATTTGAAGTTTTACGGTATTTAAGACCTGGAAAAGAAAAGAGACACTGACCTGTCAAAAGGCTCCCCCAGTTTCTCGCTGACGATCGGTAATAGTTGATAAATTAAACTTTTTCCCAAAGGGAGTAGGGCCACAACATCACCTCCATTCAAAATGTTTAATACACACTCTTCGTGTTCGGGCTTCAGTTTGCAAATGCCGGGAATATTCTCCACAACAGAGCGAATTGCATCCGCGTCTCCGCATCCGCGTCTCCATATCCGCGGTTGTTTTCGATTTCCCTGACCTAATCTTAAACTCGGCGCTTAGTGACTACGTCACGGCTCTCAGCCCGCCCTCTGTTCGTTGATTGGCCCGGCTGTTTTCAGGCCGGAGGAAAACGGATAGATAGGCCGCTATCTAAGACTGAGTACAGAAGTGAAATGAATTTGAGCGGAAGTACGAAGTCTGACGTAGTCAGGCTAGATATGATCATGAAACGCCTTCAAATTATAATTTACCCTTAACGGGAATATTTTGCCAACGTATCTGTATGAACAACTAAGTACAACTGATTATAATCAATTATCCATACAGGGAGGCAAAAATAGATCAATTTTCTATATCAATAATCAATCACTAGTATTATAATTAAATATGAATATATCAATTGTCTAGAATAGATCGATTCTCAGGATAACTCTTAATGGAATTAATTTGTTATCGAATAATCTGTTTGTCCAGCAAACTGACCGTACGATCTTTTATCAAATCTCAAGAGGAGTTATCCTTCTTATAGACTTTCAAGAAAGACTGTTTCTCTGGCCATAAAAAACAGCTTTCTCGTTCTATAAAAGAAAATACTATTTAAAGTATCAACAATTGTAAAGCTGTAGCTTTGACCGAACATTAAAGGGACTTCGTAATATGAGCAAGAGACGGAGTCAATAAATGAATATAATGTATTTAATAAAGGAAGCTATGTACACTCACCGGCCACTTTATTAGGTACACCTGTCCAACTGCTCGTTAACACTTAATTTCTAAGCAGCCAATCACATGGCGGCAACTCAGTGCATTTAGGCATGTAGACATGGTCAAGACAATCTCCTGCAGTTCAAACCGAGCATCAGTATGGGGAAGAAAGGTGATTTGAGTGACTTTGAACGTGGCATGATTGTTGGTGCCAGAAGGGCTGGTCTGAGTATTTCAGAAACTGCTAATCTACTGGGATTTTCACGCACAACCATCTCAAGGGTTTACAGAGAATGGTCCGAAAAAGAAAAAACATCCAGTGAGCGGCAGTTCTGTGGGCGGAAATGCCTTGTTGATGCCAGAGGTCAGAGGAGAATGGCCAGACTGGTTCGAGCTGATAGAAGGGCAACAGTGACTGAAATAACCACTCGTTACAACCGAGGTATGCAGCAAAGCATTTGTGAAGCCACAACACGCACAACCTTGAGGCGGATGGGCTACAACAGCAGAAGACTCCACCGGGTACCACTCATCTCCACTACAAATAGGAAAAAGAGGCTACAATTTGCAAGAGCTCACCAAAATTGAACAGTTGAAGACTGGAAAAATGTTGCCTGGTCTGATGAGTCTCGATTTCTGTTGAGACATTCAGATGTTAGAGTCAGAATTTGGCGTAAACAGAATGAGAACATGGAACCATCATGCCTTGTTACCACTGTGCAGGCTGGTGGTGGTGGTGTAATGGTGTGGGGGATGTTTTCCTGGCACACTTTAGGCCCCTTAGTGCCAATTGGGCATCGTTTAAATGCCACGGCCTACCTGAGCATTGTTTCTGACCATGTCCATCCCTTTATGGCCACCATGTACCCATCCTCTGATGGCTACTTCCACCATGTCACAAAGCTCTAATCATTTCAAATTGGTTTCTTGAACATGACAATGAGTTCACTGTACTAAAATGGCCTCCACAGTCACCAGATCTCAACCCAATAGAGCATCTTTGGGATGTGGTGGAACGGGAGATTCGCATCATGGATGTGCAGCCGACAAATCTGCGGCAACTGTGTGATGCCATCATGTCAATATGGACCAAACTCCCTGAGGAATGCTTCCAGCACCTTGTTGAATCTATGCCACGAAGAATTGAGGCAGTTCTGAAGGCAAAAGGGGGTCCAACCCGTTACTAGCATGGGGTACCTAATAAAGTGGCCGGTGAATGTATACCGGTGACTACAATTACATGGAATAAAATGTATATACAACAAAACAAAGCAACAAACAATGAAAGAGAATGAGAGTCAGAGAGTGATAGAAAGAGATAGAGGATGAGAGAGATCACGGAAGGATCACAGAATGGCAAATTACCTGGACAATTAACCTTTGAGAGACAACACAAGGAATCACAAAATTACTCTAAATGGGAAAACAACCGTAACAGCTTTTAGATTTCGATATGAAATACGATACTTGCATTGTTTCTTTGAGTGGTTGAGGAAAGAAAGCGTGGTGTCGTTCCTTCAGAGCTTAGTGTTCTCGTGGTTCATCCGGGGCGAACAGAGTCACGGAAAATTTAAATGTCCATTGAAAGTAAAGTTTGCCAGATAATTCAGGCTAAGTTCATTTCACTCGTCGGTGGAAATGAACAAAGGAGAATACGAAAAGGGAAAACAAAAACTTAATGAAGACTGAAGAGAAAACAAAAAGACAAACTGAAGACAAAACAAGACGGACTGGAGAAGGTTGAAGAGAGTTGAAGAGGGTTGAAGAGCGCAATGAATACGCTGGTCAATGACTTTAAAGGGAGTTCGAGATCCCACCTTCAGGGGTGAACTGACCAATCGACTTGGAGTTCTCATTTGCATAAGTTATGAGGGGTGTCAGAATTCGTAATTTACACTACCGAGAATGGAAAACATATATTCACATATTTTACTGTATGCTCATTCTGACTTGGTCAGACCGAGAGGATTCTGAAGGTATCAAGAACTGCACAAAAAGGGCACAGAAATACAGAGATACATCTCAATGCATAATTACAGGCACTTAGAGTTCCACTGATACACTAGGAAATCATAACTAGACTAATGTGAACTGGGAAACATGCAAACACACAGGAATATATCGTATCCAGTTGGCAGTGGTTCATATTCTGAGTTTAATGTAAAAGTCTGTGTATGTGTGTGTGTCATGTCTTTGCTTCGGCCACCTGGCATTCCTTTCTTGCCGGGGTGGGGGTGTTGAGCGATACGAATCTGTTTGGAGCTTGGACCCAGAGCTGTGGAATGTGTGTGTGTGTGTGTGGTGGTGGGGGGTGGGGGGTGTTCTGGTGGTGCTCTAAGGGCCCATAAATGGTGTCAAAAAGGCCGTCTTCCCCAGACTTTCTGGAGCTAAGCTGGTGAATTATTAAACAAAGAACAAGTTGACAAGCTTTCCTGAGACTCAGAATGGTGAAGTCATGTGAGACTGTCCAGATACGCTACAGGGGAGTGAAGGAAAAGTGATATAACTAGTAGTATAATTACCGTTGTCAGAAAGTAATAAGTAATAATATTACTTTTTAAGGAGTAACTAGTAATGAGTAGTATTACATTTTTGAGTAATGAGCCCGACACTGGAGTCAATACTCAACATGCGACTGTAGGCTGACGTCTGAATGCGGCAGACTCACTCCTGAAACTAAATGAGGGTTTTTAATTCATTGACAAACTAAAACCATTTCATTTATACAAGACATAAGTTTACACCAAACACATCAATGAGAAGTTTGACATCCAGCAATCAAAAAAAATTAAAGGATTAAGTTTTTCATTCCTTTCCACAGTTGCCTTTGGCTGGCACACTTGGGGACTGAAGATTTTTAGTATTATGTATTATTTTATGTATTATGTCTTTTCTTAAACTGATGTTTATTACTGCTAATACACACGTGTTAACACACACACACACACACACACACACACACACACACACACACACACACACACACACACACACACACACACACACACACACACACACACACGTGTAATAAACATCCCCAATTAGTAAATAGGCTTGTTAGTACACCAAAATGTTATAAATTGTACAAAACCTTACAGATTTATAATCACAGCATAAATGAACAACGCCAACAACTATATACAATTTTATTTTATACAATCACTGTTACATGATCTATATGTAGCAAATCTCAAATGCAAATAAACCATGCACTTTAAAAAATCATTCTGCTCTAAAGTATTAAATTTAGAAAAAACATCAACATTGTAAAACTCTGTAAAGCTGCTTGGAAAAACACGATACAAACAAATTGACACACAACTATTATGATTAAAATGCATGTAAATGATGTTTGGTGTTTTTATTTCCATCCACAGCTCCAGGTAAAGATGCTACTTCTGCAGTTTTCTACAGGAGCTGTAAAGCTGTACCATTAGTCCCAAAACAAGGGCCTTAGAAATGGAGAGACGAGAGATAAATCATGAAATATGAACAAGCTGACCCGTAAGATAGGATCAACATTTAGTATGCAATGTTCAAGTGAAATTGTATAAATCATAAGAAAACTTTTGTTACTGGCTCATGTCATATTACAGTTCTCATTTTTTTTATTGGTGCTTTCTTAGTGTTAATCTCAGTCTTAACTTACTGCCGCAAAGTCTCCATGGAAAAGCCCTGGTCATTCAGAAGAATCTTCACATACTGGTTGCAGCGAGACCAACGGTCATCAGAATCTGTGCATTTTTGAGACGGTTTATTGCAAATGGACCTTCATAATCAGAAAGCACAAAGCACAGCATCAGTACAGAGTCTTTAACAAACATGATATTTGCTTTTAATTGAGTGTAATCATTGTTATAACTATAATTTGTGTGAGAAACAGACCAACATTTAAATTGTTATTGAATTGTTAATGAACTATGAGATCTAGGGTGGATGTAAAGAAAACTTAATTTATGAATAATTTGAATAATTTTTGTTCCTTACAAAAATGTATTATGTGACTCCAGAAAATATGGAATATGCCTCAAAAGTCGTTCTTTTCTGGTGTTTTTGTGTCTTTTTAAAGCTTGTAAGCTGAACTCTCCATGAAATTGCATGGAAAATCTATATAATGATAAACCAATACAAACCCGTTAAATGTCATCATACATCTTGGTCTTGTGTTTGAGCTCTGCAAGATCTCGACTCCATCCTCCAGTAATAAGCCAGCATCTAACCTAGATGTGGAAACACATTATACAGATAAAATTATTAAGATTGATAATGCCATTCTTCATCTGCTTCTTGCACATTCATTTAAACAATTTCATAACAGTTTAAACGGATGAAGGCGATGAACTACAGATGGGCGGATTCATTTGCTTTGTAAGGTTATCTGATATAGCAAGAGCATTGCAAAATTGCTAAACTGCAAAAATAAATAAATTAGACATAATAAAATAAATTATTAAAATAATAATAATAATAATGTTTCATTTCTAAGGCTATAAAAATGTTACTGAATGATCTATCAATGCATTTCCAGCAGATATTGAAATAATAAAGGGTCTCAATGAAATATGTGCAGTGTCGCATGTTTACTGTAAATTGTCACATGACCAGAGCTGTTTATTTCCTGTTTGTGCCAAGAGAAGAGGATGGCAGCAAGAAAGCTTCCAAAGAAAAGATTAGTAAAGTATGTTAACATAAAGATAGGACATAGATTGTTGGTACACATCATGTTTAAGGTGTCTAGTATTGATATATGCATTTGCAGTTACTCAACTTTGTTTAATGTGGTCATAGACCTCACAAACATGTCACCGGCAACAATAGTGACCGGTGGGATAACCCATTGTATCTACATGCTAATACACATAGGCTAACTGTTCTACCTTACTTTCTGCTGCTACCTAACTTTCTACCTAATTTTACACACACACACACACACACACACACACACACACACACACACACACACACACACACACACACACACACACACACACACACACACACACACACACACACAAAGACTAGCTAGCTAACTAATTCTACCTCATTTTCCACACACACACACGCAATTACAGGTAGGCACACACACGCACACCACACACTCCACACGTACCCCGCACACACACACGCACCCCGCACTCACGCACACCCCCCCCCACACACACACGCACACCACACACACACCACACACACCCCACACAAAGACTAGCTAGCTAACTAATTCTACCTAATTTTCCACACACACACACACGCAATTACAGGTAGGCACACACACGCACACCACACACTCCACACGTACCCTGCACACACACACACACACACACACACACACACACACACACACACGCACACCCCCCCCCCCCCCCCCCACACACACACACACGCACACCACACACACCACACACACACCACACACCCTACACACACGCACACCACACACCCCACGCACACCACACAACCCACACGCGCACCACACACCACAGACCCCACAGACCCCACACACACACCCCACACACACACCAGACACACACACCGCAGACCCCACGGACACCACACACCCCCCACACACACAAACCAGACACCCCACACACACACACCGCACACCCCACACGCACACACACACACCATACACCCCACACATACATCCCACACGCACGCACACCACAGACACACGCACACCACACACCCCACACACACGCACACCACACACCACAGACCCCACACACACCACACACACCACACACCCCACACACACCCCACACACACGCACACCCCCCCCACACACAAACCAGACACCCCACACACACACACACCGCACACACACACCACACACACATCCCACACACACGCACACCCCACACACCAGACACCCCACACACGCACACCACAGACCCCACGCACCACACACACACCACACCCCCCCCACACACACACACCAATTGTGACCGATCATAAAACTCATTTTTTCACACACTTTTCCATGAAAATTAAAAGAAATTATGATTGATTGTTTCAAAGGGATACTAATGACACATGATTTGGATATTTTTATGTCTGGGAAAAATTTTGGGATTAAATGGGTTAATGTTTTAAAGGCTAGTTCACCAAGAGAAAAAACTCTGTCATGTCATTCATAACCGGTGTGTCTTTCTTTCTTCTGCAGAACACAGAAGAAGATATTTTTAATAATGCTGGTAATAAAACAGTTTTGGTTCATTGCATTTCTTGTCTAAACAATGGAAGTCCATGGGATCTGAAACTGTGTGTTACACAAGCATTCGTTAAAATCACATCTTTTGTTCCTCAGAGGAAAATAGGTTTGGAACAACATGAGGGTGAGTAAATGATAACAGGATTTTCCTCTTTGGGTGAACTATCCCTTTGAATATTAAATACACAGTTCTCATTGTTATGGAATTTTTCAGTTATTACTCTGATTTCAGTGATTCCTAATGATGGCCTCATCTGTTCTCTCGCTTGTAGTGAGAGGGGGCCTTTGGGTGATAATTTACTGTGGTTGGGAGTCAGTGGAGGTAAGGAAAAGCAGGTGGTCAAGGGGTCATCTTGAGTGCATTTGTACGTTATAGCCTAAAGGGTTAAGGGGGCATTTACCTCTCAGGGCCAGGGAGAAATAGAAAAAAACAAAGTATATCTCTCCTGTGAGGGGAGGGCAGAAATAAGGCCTTGGAGGACACAAGATATAAACAAGACAGACACTTGTAAGGTATGGACTGTCAGTTGACTTCCTCCTTTCCTCAAGCAAGAACGTGTGTACAACACACACACACACACTCTCTCTCTCACACACACACACACAAAGAACGGGGTGTTCTGTTACAAGACTGAGCTTTATTACCCCTTGGAATGTCCCAGAGAGTGGGATTCCTCCTTATTCTTGCTGAGAAGAAGTAACGAACCCGGGTTTAAACCTATATATTCTATGTATATACATATAACCATGTGATACATGCATCTAATGTTCCATCTCATGATTTTCCTTTATGTTGTTTGGTCTGTGTGGCCTTGTAAACTCTAATGTGTTAATGTTGAGACGTGACTTGCATACTATGAGAAACAGAAATCACTCTGTAGCATGTTTAGTCTCGATAAACTCCAACCTTCGTTCCCATTTGTTGATTTACATTACATCTTGCTAACTTTGTGATGCAGGGGTGTTATAAGAAATCTTGAAGGTTCTTTCTCTTAAACACCAAATTAACTGACATATTCAGATGTCCTGCGAGATTCACCCGGACTGTAGCCCGCAAGCTTCAGAGGAATGGCCAGAGTCATAAAATGCTTGAACATTCCATGCCCTCCCCCATCTCTGCAAGAGAGATAACAGAACTCTAACACACACACACACAAACCAACACACACACATAATGGACCTTTACATTAAACTCATAAAACGAGCCATTACCAATTGTATACGATATATTCCTGTATGTCTGTGTGTTTCCCAGTCCATGGTAGTCTAGATATGATCTCCTAGCGTATCAGTGAAACTCTTGAGAGTTTATAGTTATGTATTAAGATGTATCTTCGTATTCCAATTATGTGTAAATGTTTTGTTTGGTACCGTTTTAATTATCTCGTTCCAACTGATTTGGTCAGATACAGAAGATTACAGTAAAATGTATGTTTTCTATGTTTTTACCATCTTGTGGAATGATTCTGACAAATTCTGACTGGTCATAAAAGAGGCCGACACGGCCATAGTTTAACTTTGACAAGACAAAGAGAATTTGGCCGCCAAAAGTTTCGTTGAATGTCATTGGCCAGTTCGCACCTCAGAGGTGTGGACTCCAGTTCCTCTAAAGAGGACTGAACCTCCCTCTGGACGCTCTCTTCCTCCCTTGTCCTCGTGTTATAATGTAACGTCTCGCCTCCGGGCGAGCTCTTCGCCTTTCTTTTATTTGTTTCTAGTTTAGTTTGTGTTTTTCAGTTGTAGATAAGTCTCTGTGTTTAATTCCAATCGACGATTGAAAAGAAAACCCCGTGACATATCTCTTCAGCAAATCCATCTACAAGGGACCTTTAAACGAGCGCGCGCTCGCTTTGAAGGAGAAACACGCGCACGTGACCGCGTGACGCGCCGGACCGAGCGACGCACGCGCTTCTTCACCAACCATGCAAAGATGTAACGTTAACTCCGCGTGATTTCCCCGTAGAGATCTTTATTTCTTTTCTTTGTTAGTCAAAGTTTTGTTTTCCGTAGTCGACTCAGTTCACTTCCACGAAGTGAAACGAACTTAGCCGAACTATCTTCCTTTGGTAATGTTACCCAAAGACTCTGAACCTCCGTTCAACACGCGCGCCAAGCAGCACCACGTGACGCTTCTTAAAGGACTCCGCTCACGCACGCGGCCAGACAAGGCCGCGCAGGAATGCCGGACACAGAGAGACCAAAACTTGTGCAAGTATCTCTTTTGAAGCTTCTCAGAAGCATTAAGATTATGTGTTTCGTGTTGTTGCAGAAAGGTGAAAGTCTAGGGAAAAATCGTACCCATGCTCTCTCTCTCTCTCTCTCTCTCTCTCTCTCTCTCTCTCTCTCTCTCTCTCTTACTCGCTCACGCGTGTAAGTTATCCATTGTCCAAACTTTACGCATTTCTCGTTCATTGATGTCTTATTGTATTGTTCATTGTTGTCTATGTGTTTGTAAATACATATATATCCCGTGTAACCGTAGTAAATACATAAGTAGTCATGCCTCTATTAAATTAAATATATATTCATTTGATTGATGTACTCTCTCTTTGCTCAGTTTCAAGTCCCTTAAGTGCCAAAGATCTTATGCTACAAGCTTACTAAAATTAAATATACCTTAAAAAGTATGTGTTTATAGGGCGGGAAAACCAATTCTTCTGGCCAGAGAATTGCGTTTCCTGAAATCCTATAAAGTAAGATGATATTGTGGATCCCACAAATATGATCCTGACAATTGAGCTAATTCATTTTACCTGTTTGTGAAACATGGTCCGTGTAATTAATTGCAATCAACTTGTGGTTAATTTCAGGGATTCACATGCATGCATGCAGGTAAAATGACAGATCCTCCCTTATCGGGAGATTTATTAACATGTAAGACTGATCTACTCCAAACATGTATGAATAATTATTAATTACCAATTATTAATTATGATATGCAAATTCCCCACGGATTAGATCCGCCCTTGAATCCTTACATTATTATGGTGGAGAAATATGCTAGGCACACTT